AAACACAAAGCACTCATCCTATCGTTCAGACCTTGTGCTCAGCTCAGATAATCCGAAGTTTTAGTGGTACACTCATCCTGCGCTCTCTCTCTCTGCTTCCTCTTTTGAGCACCACTTTTTGTTTTTTTGTTGGGGGGTTTTTGCTATGTTTGCTAAACATAACTTAAAATGCTGCTGCTGTCTAACTTCTCTGTAAGACACTTGCAGAAAGACAAATCCTTGCATAGTTGGCATCAACAGGTTTGCAAGCATTTTGCGCAAATGGCAGAGAGCATGGTTAGGAAATATAGGTAAAATATTTGCCAGCATTTTCAGCAAAGGTGCCCATTTTAATCAGTGATGTGTGAAAATACCCAGTAAAAGTTAAACATACATACAACATGTAGAGGAACTCCTATAATGTGTCCAATTTACTGAAACATTGTGAAGGTGAATATCCAGTGTGATGTAGAGGGGCTGCCCTGGGGTCACACTGTTGGATATTACACCACTGATCCAGATACGGTCAGTATAGTCATTATAGTCAACAATTTTAGATATTTAAACACAGTTTCTTTTAGAATGAGATTTATTCTGTGCTGAATTCTATCAGCACCCAGATATTTACAGCATGTAGTCACTTTGGACTGACATGAATGGTAAGCTGCTTTCTGATTACGTCATGCGTATTGTTCCTTGTTCTTGAGAAAAAAAAAGTTATTTTTTCAAGGTTCTTTGTATTGAAGGCGTTTCCTCTTTAGTCTCTCAGAATCCCGCAGAGAACATCAGACTGTGTTACCTTCAACAGCCCCTGTGGCCAACTTGTAGCTGCATTGTCAGACTGCTTCCTCAGAGGATGTTCGATTAGAAATGCTTTGTGTGTTTGCAGGCACACACATACACTGTACACGCAGACGCAGCAGGAGTCACTGTGCGTACTACTGCAGGCCTCCGAGGATTATTAAGTTAATAACCAAGCAAAGAGAGGGTGAGGAACCCAGGAAGTCACACCACAGCAGGGCTGGGGCTCACAAAGTCACGCACACACTTCAATAAAGCCACGTTTTACATTGTGACTTACATTTTGTAACCACATTGTTTCAGATCACTAGACAGTATTATAAGCATCAGTGTGATTTTTACAACATCTGTTTGATTAAAAAGGTGTTCTTTTTTTTTATCTATTCACACAGAATTAGATCTTGCTGCAAAGACATATCCATAAAAAGCCCATCTTGTTCTGATCAACATTTGTATACACTCAAAAACCCAAATATTAGTCACATGGCAGCAACTCAGTGCCTTTAAGCATGTGGACATACTCAAGATAACCTGCTGAAATCTAAAGTGAGCGTCAGAATGGAGGAGAAAGGTGATTTGAAGTGACTTTAAATGTGTCATGGTTGTCGGTGCCAGACTGGCTGGTCTGAGTATTTCAGAAATGACTCATCTCTGGGTTTTTCCCACATAACCGTCTCTTTGCAGAGAATGGTCTGAAAAAAAAAATACAAAAATATCCAGCGAGCACCAATTCAGGTCAGAGGAATATGGTCAGACTGCTTCGAGTTTATAGGAAGGCGACAGTAAATCAAATAAGCTCTTGTTGCAATCAAATTGTGCAGATGAGCACCTCTGACTGTACAAAGTGTGGAACATTAAAGCAGCAGAAGACCACACCAGGCGCCTCTCCTGCCAGCTGAGAGAACGATAGTGGGCTAAAGTTCACACGAGCTCTCCAAAATTGAACAACAGAAGAGTGGAAAAATATTGCACTTATTTATTATCAAACAATTTCATGTTTACACATCCAGAAGACACGAAGCCACAGTTGCATTCATTTGGGGTTATATTTCTGATAAACTGATTGAAAGCAAGGATCACATTCACCTTCATTCTCATGTTTCCTCTGTTTTAGTTTCCACCAAATCCTCAGGGAAATTTATGTCCAAGTGCTGCACTCTGTGTTCAACAGTTAGTCGCTAACATTGTCGTCCTTCTTGGTGCTCAGCAGGTGATTCACAGCAGAAATGATGAGAAATAACAGTCGCGTAATTGCCTATAAATAATGCCACATGAGTCTGTCTTTATTCATATCTGACCCATTGTTTACCTTAAATATGGGTCTGAATGTGTTTTCTGGAGTGGCTCTTCATTTCTTTAAAAAGCAGCTGGGGCTGTTTAATGAATGGAGTCAGGTTTCTTTTTGCCTCATTTTATTGTAAAGTTGTATTTATGGACAGATGGATGTTGTGAGCTGTGGGAATCCAAACGCAAGTGTTTGTCTTTTTTTCTCTCTCTTTGTTTATTGAAAGGTTTATAATATCTCTATGCATGTTTAAGGACTGAGAATCTGACTAAACAAGGCCATATAGTATAAAGGCCATGGCAACACATTCAATCAGCACCCTCATTTATCTTTAAAGCGACCTTTCATTTTAACTGGAAATGCCTTAACCTTTGTCGTATTTCCTGGAATAGCCTTCAGCCTCTTCAGGTGGACAGGTCATCGCAGCAGTGAATAGTCATTTACAAAAAAATATACATCAGAAAAAGCTGGCACCATAGAGAGTCTTTGCTCCGTATAAAAGGATGTGGTTTATGTTTTGAGGCGTGACTCATTTCAAGCATATTTTTGCCAAGATATATTTTACTAAAAGTAAAATAAAAAGAAGAAGAAGGAAGCAAAGAATACCGCTATTTCTGCAAAATTGGTTGATTCAATCACAAAGCTGGTTTCGTTGTATTTTTTCTTACCCCTGAAATAACCTTCAGGCCAACTGTGAGACTTCAACTTAAACCTTTAGCGCCCTCTGGAGGTATTAAGCTGTATCTAGATTTAAAGGCACGCATCAGGCAGCCAATGAGATTTAATTTCCTTAATGAGCCTGTACATGGGTGGAAGTTATTTAAAGCAGCGGAAATGAGACAAGATCGGTAGTTTTGATATCTTACTTAAACATCAGGCTCATTAAAAATTACACAGGTTGTATTTTAAAAAGGAAACACTTTTGGATATTCTCTTGATACACTTCCCCTTACAGTACCTTCAACCCTCCACTAGAGGTCAGAGCAAAAATATAGAACGATGGAGGGCGGCATGGTGAAGGAAATTTGTACTTGGAAGTCATGAAGAGGCTTTTTGTGAGCTGAGTGTTCTCTTTTTTTATCTTCTTTTATCTTGTGAAAAGTGACAGTACTTTCTCTGTGTTACTCATACATTTAGAGATAAATACTAAAACGACACCTCTGGGAAGGCTTAGACCATAAGGCCAACACAATGAGTTATTACTTAATGCCAAACGCGTCATTAAACTTTAATAAATCAATAATGGATCCTTTTATCTCTTTACAGCCGAGGGATGTATGGGTTTGCTCAAAATGTCATTCATGAGTGAGCTGCACTGTGATTTTGGTGATCTGTTATCAGCGGGTACATTTGCTCACATATTCTAATATGCTGACTTTACCTGGGGTTTTTCTCTGAAAGATTAAAGTTCAGATAAACATATCTAACTGTTAATCTGGTACAGAGGGAGCAGGACGTAGGCCTCTGAGTTTTTGTGTCAGGGGTTAATTAGTGATGTCTCATCCCAGTAACACGTTGAACAAATCCATCAATCACTTCTCAAGCAACACTTTTATAACCTCACTCTGTGCAGTTCACTATTCATCCTGCTACGTTCTCTTTGTGTCTCGATTTCAGTCTCATTAATGACAAACACGTGTTTTATATATACTACTATAGGACTCATATGCTTGACCTCTGCAGGGATATGAACCTGGCATCACACTAATGCTGCCTACCCATAAAAGCTCCAGCTGAGGAGCTCTGTGGTGTTGTTTGTGTGGGTGTGAATAATAAACAGTGTAGTGGCAGTGGAGATTATAAAGAGCAGATAGCAGATAACAAAGCCTACACTTGATTTACTGGATAAAACTAATTTCGCTCGCCTTTTTTATGCTAATAAAGACATTTAAATTATTGTGTAACTTCTTGGCCACAAGCAGCTTCTATGGCTGTCGTGCCTCCTGAAAATGATGCATAAATAGCACGATTAAAAATTTTGGGCAGGGAGCTTGTAAGCATCCCACCACCACCAACACATTCTTAAGTAGCTAAATGTTAGGGTAATTAAATTGCTTGATATAAAAGTGATGAATGAATGCCTAAATAACTGTGCGACATGAGGGAACTTCTCTGGGTTTAGAGTCTGTGGAGACCTGAACGAGGCCTCCTATAATTACGTTTTATGATCATTTGATGGTAAAGTTATTTATTCATCCATAATTGTGCGGACACACGTTGACACGTGATCCCGTGTTGTCTCAACTATAATCTCTGCCTGCCTTTTCTAAATCTTGTGTTATTCTAGCACTTGTGCCAAATACACACCTAATCACTAACTTTTGCTTGATGTAAGCCTAAACCCAAACCCTATGCTAATCTTAACTTTAAGCAACAATTTAGCATGTCACCAAGCTTTCCAGAAACCTTTGCCTGGATCTGGAGAAGTAAATAAAAAAATAGGAGTACAAACACATTTGACATAATAAAGACAAGAGCAAAGTTGGGTTGTTTTTTTGTTTTTTTTGCATTTAGTGTCTTTATAAAACAGATTTGCAAAATATAGCCAAGGCTCATTCATTTAAATACGCCATAAATAGCAAGAAAATACTTTCCCATTTCAATTCAAATATTTTTTTGTTACTTCTTTATACACGAATCAGAGATGAACATTAGACGAAAAAAAATTATTGATTTCTTGCAGCAGAAACCCCCCAAAACAAACCAAAAAACCCCCCAAAAAAACCCAAAAAACAAAACACAAGCATACCGTGTAGCTAGAGCGGCAATCGATTAGTCAGAAATATACATCCTCTGAAGACACGTGGTCATAAACATTAAAACAAAATCTTATTCAAGTCTGAAATATCAAAGCACACATCTTTGGATGGATTTCTCATAGTCTTTTAAGAGCTTTTCTTTTCTTTTTCTTTCTTTATTTACTCCTTTATTTTTACAACATCAGCAACAGAACTGTAATTAACACCAGCATGGCCAAAAAGTTTGGATCCATATGTACAATAGTGCAGACAAAAGAGCTTAAATGTGAATAAAGGCAGTGGAGGGATCGTAATGCATCATCGTGTCTCCTAATTAAGTTTTCAAGTGGTCTCCCTTTATTTTTAGAAAACTATAAGATGACAACTAAAGCATCCAAGCACCATAGATGCTTTTATTTGGAGAGCGCTGCCCAACGACTTAAAATAAAAACGTGAAATTGTCTCAGTGAAGGGTTATTTATTGATTTATTAAGCTATATTTCAATTTTCTTTTATGTTAATTAAGTCTACTTAATGCCATTTTTGACAATAAATTCCCCCTTTTTATACATTTGCGACCACGTGTTTACATTCTGCATTTTAAAGAAACAAATTTTTCAGTTTCAGAGGAATCTTATCAAAATTTAATTTTTTTTTTTACAGCGTTTTGAATAAATAATGCAAAAAATATACATGTACGAAAACGGCATCCCTCATAAACAGACTGTTTTGCTTCTTTTGAAGGAATATGTAAACATTCACGGGGATGAAGAAATAGACCTTTTTGTCGCCGTCGGCCACAACATCGTGCTGCAGGTACTCACGGGTGCTGCTAATCACATTCATTTAGAAGAGAACCTTCATTAATGTGAATAGTAAGACCTGTGTTGACCTACTGTTTCGTGCAGATGTGACAGAAGTCTGCTTTTTGATTGAATATCTGTTTGCCGTATCAGCAGGCTTCAAGCTATTCATTGACACGTCACTCTCTCTTGCTGTCTCTCTCTCTCTGTGTAAAAGGTGCTTTAGCTTTCTGGAGCAGATGAGATGCAGAGATTAAAGACATTTTCTTTGTCTTTTTTTTTCCTTTTGTCTTCTGCAGACCAGTGTTCATTTGGCCGGCTCAGGGATGGGTGGAGCCCGCTCCAGCCTCATGGCCCAGGGGTTAGAGGTCGCAGCATAATATGGAGATTGGGTAAGCACTTCTTCTCCAGCTAGAGCAAAAGCAAACACTCCCCTCTGCCTCCCAGCTCCCGGCTTCTCCTCCTCTGAGATGTGCTTCCCTTCTGCCCGCAGCTCCTCCCTACTCTCCCTGCCGGCAGCGTCCGCGCTCTTAAACCCCTGACCTCTGTTCCCGAGGCCCAGCAGCTCCCCAAGTGCGTGACTCTTGACCCCCTGGTACGCGGGGCTCAACCTGCTCTCCTCGAACCGGTTGGTCGCAGCAGTAGGGGGACACAGGAAGTTGCCGGGGGGCGCTGAACGCCAAGCAGCTGGCTTCCGTCCCCGCCGGGGGCGTGAGATTCGGCAGCTCTGCCGCTTGATGTGTCGATGCAGGTGGTCAGACCGCGTGAAACTTTTGTAGCAGTGTTCGCACTGATACGGACGGACGCCCGTGTGGATGCGCAGGTGATTTTTCAGGTCGTAGTTGTGGACAAACTTGGAGTTGCAGTGATGGCAGATGTAGGGGCGTTCACCTGTGTGCTTCCGCATGTGGATCTTCAACTTGTCTTGTCTGAGAAAAGAAGAAAACCGCACACTTTCACAAAATGAGAGTAACGCATAAATCCTACACCATTGCCCTTTCAGTCATCGAGTTTTACAAGTGACTGATTTACAAAAGAAAAAGCCAACACAGATGATTTCCTTTTAGTGTCAACATTAAAGTTCTGCTCTAAAAATAAAAGTGGAAACTATGCCAAAGTGGGAGGATGTAGGTAAGTGAGATACCACTAATGCAAAAGCAGAGGGGGCTTTCCACTTTACCGTCTTTGATATTCAGATGAGGTGAAAACAGATTAACCTCAGTGAAAAGAGCATGGGGTACTTTTCCGTTAACCCTGCAGTTTACACTCTTTGTATGCTAGATGAAGATGTCAAGATAATGCAAATTGTTAATGTGCAGCAGTTGGGTTTGCTTTCCACATACCTGGTGAATCGTACTTCACAGATTGTGCACATGTATGGTTTCTCCCCTGTGTGTGTCCTCATGTGCCGTGGCAGTTTCCCAGCTCCTTGAATGACCTTGTTGCAGATGGGACATTGCTGTGACGCTTTGGGCTTCATCTTCCTCTCCTCCTCCAGCTGCCAGGGGGGGAACAGCGCACCCAGGTGGGATGCGGAGCTCAGAAAACTCAGGTACGACCGAAAGTCTGCCTCATCCTTAATGGGACCCAGCGGATGACTCTCTGCTGGCACTGACCCTGCGTTCATAGTGCCGTCCAGGTTCGAGCTGACAAACTCCTTCAGCAGTTCGCCTTGGAGCATACTGGGAGGGACTTCATCTTTCATCTCCTCCTTTATGATCTCTCTTTTTACGGCCAGATCAAGGGGTCTGGAGGCTTCGAGTGGTGTGGAGGCAGGGAAGCTGTGGGGGAGCCTGGTTTGTGGTGAAGCCCCCATGTGAGGGTGGTGGGTTGGCTCCAGGAGCTGCTGAGGGAAAGCTGGGAACTCAGCGGCCCACATCGGAGGGTAGAATCCTGGGAGGAGAGGAGAAAAGTTGGACCTCCTGTCCAGTGCTGGCATGCGAGGGTAGAGCCCTTCCTGCAGGAGAGACTCGATGGAGAAATCTTTCAGAGCTCGAGTCTCAATGCTCTCCTGAAACACAAGTTTTAGATACATTAGTTTTAGAGCTTAAATAAGATAAGATTATCAACAAAAACAAGATGATATCCCCTGAATTTCACCTGCTTTCTCATGGTTTCTGGAGACTGCGACTGGGGCGTCTCCCTGTGCAGCCCGAACTGCTGGTGGTACTTAGAGGTGCTCGGAGGTGGCGAATCCTCCATCCCCGGGGGCGTCCGCTCCCCCCTGCTCGTGGAAGACTGGAGCGACCTCTCGCTGACATTGTCCTCTTCTTCCTCGTGCTCATCCTTTCTCGACCCCGCGTCCTCCTCTTCGTCCTCCTCTTCCTCTTCCTCCTCTTCCTCTTCCTCCTCTTCATCTTCCTCCCCTTCCACCTCTCTCCCACCCCCACCGCCACCCCCTCCGCCACCGCTGTCCATGATCTCCAGGCAAACGTTAATGATGCAGGGTATCTCCAGCATCTGAGCTGCATTCAGGATCTCTTTGACGTTTGACGCCGTCACAGTCAGCGTGGACGTGTAGGCGAACTCCAGGATGGCTGTGAGCGACTCTGGAGCCACAAAGTCAATTTCATACACAGCGGCGGCGTGATTGGGATCTCCGCCATCAGTAGTGGCCACTGTGAAGAGCTTCTTGAAGTACTGACTGCAGGCGGCCAGGACGGAGCGGTGGGTGCGGTACTCCTGGTCTCGGACGATGAGGATGACATCGCAGAGCAGCCCGTCGCGACGCTGCTCGTTGAGGCTGCAGAGGACGTCGCTGCTGTGATTTGGGAAGGGGATTCCGATCAGATCCTCCTCTCTGTGGTGGACCATCTTCTCTCTCTTTATCTCTGCTGGTTGTAGAGACAAAAAGCGGTACAAGTGAAACATCTGGTGGCAACTGAAAAAAGATACAAATTCTGAATCGTCACCGAAATTAATTCTCTTATTCTCGACCTGAAACTTTGCTTTTTACTTAAGCGGGGTTACATTTTGACAAGGTTCCCGTCATTTATTCTGCGTCTTTATTATTTGTTAATATTTGTTGAATAATGTTTTAGGGAAAAAAAAATTGAATCTAATGCACTATTTTTTTTTAATCCCAAATGTAAGCTACTTTTATTTTCTAATTTAAAAAATAAATACCAGTGAATGGTTTTGATCTTTAATGCAGAAAAAAGTATAAATGCATAATTTAACAACATTAAAAAAGGTATTGAAAAGTATTTTTAAATACTGTAAATTTTTACACTTCAGATTTACTGTGTGTAATAAATGTCTTTGCAAATACTTTGATATACTCATCACAAAAGCTCCTTTGACGCTTTTCTCACAACTGACGTTATAAGAAATCTGAAAATACTTTCAATATTATTACATGTTGTTCAAGAGCCCTTTGGTTTTTTTAATATGGGGGGATCTTTCAGGAAAAAGCCCACATGCTGACTTGAAAACAGTACACACAAGTGTGAAATATTATGCTGATCGCTTTAAACAGGTCCTGTTTAATTTCCTGTTGGCATTTGATGACTGGTCACATGTACTTTCACTTTGACTTGAAAGCGGTGAATAATAGTTCTTTTAACCCCTTAGCAGTCCTATTAGTCCCCTAAACCATCCAATGTCCCGTGGGCGGTACGTCCGACTGCTAACAGTTTAAATCCACAGAGCTGGCTTCTTGCTTCCTGGCCGTGCAAAGAGCCTGCCCTGTAAACTTGACTTGACTCATCCACGTGGATGGTGCAGGATTTAATGAAGGCATGTTAAAGAAAACAACAAAGCGGGGTTCTGAAACGCCGACGCAGAGAGTGCAGCGGTAACGACGGGTGCTGCTGCTGTCACCGGTGACAAGCGGCGTCCATTCATGGGGTGAAGGCTTTCAAAAAAAGCTTTCATATGCGAATAAGGGGAGTCTCTCCGCCGAGGCCGATAGTGTTAACACAATGAGTGACAGTCTAACTTTATTAAAATATACTGTAGGCATGCTTGTTTGCGTGCCATCTGTGCAGCAAAAGCAACAAGTGGTAAATACAGCATGTCTCATTTCGAGCAAACATCACGTTGGGTAATATTTATTCTTGAATGTGTTATCATCATTTCTTGTTGCAAGTGTGTGAGTTAGGGAAGCCCATCATTTTAATTAGTCCTAAAGCGGTTCTTGATTTTTTTTTTTCTTTCTTACTTCTTACTTTTCAATTCGAAACTGGGTGGTGTGATAAAAAAGTGTGTGAGAGACGTTCTGTGATAGCGCTTATAACGTCCATCCCTCTTGTCTGCGTCTATCAGATATGAAAAAGAGGCAAGCCGATACGTTCATCGGAACAATACAGTGTGTGTGTGTGTGTGTGTGTGAGAGAGAGAGAGAGAGAGACTGGGATGTGGTGAGAAGTGGAGAAAACGACAAAAGAGGTCAGATTGTACTCTAGATACTGTATCCTGTCAAAATGCTTACTTGCAGTCTATCCTCACTCATTTCACTTATAACGCGGTGCCTGAAAAGCCTGATATATAGCACGTTATTGTCTAAACACACTGCTCGGTCTGCTCTCTTTCTTCACATTTTCCACTCCACAGCTGCCTGAGCTCCCACCTGTTGATTCACTGTACTGTTGTTTACAGTTCTAGTGATCAAACCTCCGCTGGCAGGGTGCTCATTCATTCACATCTATGAATAGAGCTCAAACTTAGCCATCCGCACTTGGTGGTCACTGGAGGCATGTGTAGATAAATACTTTGAAGCAGCCCCACACACCACAGCTGCATTGTTGACTGAACCGAAATGGGCCAGCTCTGAAGCCACACACACACACACATACAGACCCAAGTGTCTCACTTTCTTGAGCTTCCTGCAGTGAATCACGCCAGAAGTCAAAAAAAAAGGAAAAACAAGGAGAAAAAAAAAACTATTTCAGAAAAAATCCCCAAGTTCACCTGCAGGTGTACAATTCAGGTACCTTACCAATCTTACATGTAGTTTATTCTTGTCGATCTTGTTGCTAGGGAACTGTTGCCATGTTCGTGCCATTGATACAGTGTGGACATAATTAAAATGTCTATAGAGGAGGTGGCAGTGTAGGATATATGTCCGCAGACACGCACGCCGGCCTCGATGCGACAGTGAAAGTTACAGCAAGCTGGGGGGGCAGAGCTGTTTGATTGGCGATTTGCAAAATGGAAATGATGATGAGGATGTATGCAGCTCACACCGCAACTTTACACTTTTACAAGGAATAGAAGTTTTTTTTTTTATTGTATTCCCACGCCATGTGCACAACCTCCCTAAAAGTAATAACCTGGCCTGGGCAAAAAGGTGAGAGAATCTCCAGCAGGGAGAGATCAGATGGCCCTAAAAGTTCCCTAACAGGTTGCACAAACACCAGCGGAGGGGCCCCTCCCTGCGACAGCCTGCCAAGGCAAACAATAGTGCAGAGCTTGGAACAACACTGAGTGGATAAGAGCAGGAGAAAACGACTGGGAGGGCCTGGCGAACTCACTGTCTCGCATTCGGGTTTTTTTTTTCTTCTCCTTTTCTTTTTTTGCTCTCGACCCATCCCACCCACTCCTGGAACTATGGGACACGTGCTGCTGTTGCTGTTTGTTCACCCACTGAACCGACGAGTGCCACTCCCCTCCCCGTTCCCACTGTTTGCCTGCCACTAGCTAGCACTAGCTCTTAGCGGCCGGCCCCTAATTACAATGTGGAGAGGATCTAAGGAGGATGTGCCACATAGACAGGGAGGGGAGGAGGGCACCGCTTTCCCACCACAAGGTCCTGGAGCGACATTTCATCAGCCAAACAAGTCTTAGCCCTTTAGACGCACACGCAACACCCCACCCACCCATCAAGGGGAGCGAGGGCGGCGACGCCTTGAGAAAGGGCACAAAGTGACTCGCCTTCTGTCCCCTTTTCAAACCCACTCCAAGTTATTAGCAATAAAGCTCAACTCGGTAAGTAGTCGTCAGGTTTAACAACCTGCCATAATGAGGTGGCTGGATTTTTTTAGTGAATTAAAAAACAAAAAACAAACAAAATTTGTTTTTGATTAAAACTTTTAGCACCTGTCACAATTGCATCACCGCTTTAAAGGAAGAAGTTCCAAGTGTGGGGAAAAAAAAGTTCACACGAGTTCAACTCATTTACTAAACTGACCTCTAATAAAGGCTTTTCCGTCTCCCTCTCTTTCTGCCTTCCTGTACTGGCCAGCATCTCCTCTCATGCCTCACTTAGTCACCAACACTTTCAACTCAGCACTCCCGCCCCAAATTATGTGTCACCTCCATCCAGTGTCGTCTTTCTCCCGAGAACTTCATCTGCTCTCCGGGCACTGACCACCAGCGCCACCTCCTCCTAATGATTCTCCTCTTCTTCCTCTTCCTCCTCACCACCTCCTCCTTCTCCTCCTCCACCTCGCTCTGTCCGTGTTGCAGCTGTATCATCATTATGCCTAGAGTAGAGTGGCTAACTTGTCCCCAAACCTGACCGCTCAGGCCACAAATCACCAGCTAATGTCCATCTCAAGCCTTGTGACGGGCAGACGCTCATTTGGCCTGTGCGCTCCAACACCCAGTGCCTAGTTTATTCCTGTCAGGCCCGTTCATCCACCTGACCCCCATGCTAAATCACCAGCCGCCAGAGTTTACCCCTGTCACCGACTGCCCATAGCAAACACCTGCGAAACAACTGTCACAGGTGGACAATTGCACAGCCAATAATTTACAGTATTGACAGCCAAAATTCACCCCCCTTATTAAGGGAAGACATTCATTTGACCTGCTGTGTAAACTAGTCCATTATCGCCAGTGAAACAGCAGTGCACCTCGAGGAGACACTTCCATGGTTAGTGTTAGTTTTGAGCCTCTAGGCCGCATGAAGGGGGGGAGATTTTTATATTTTATCTTAATTGCTGTCAATTAGAGAAGGTGAGGAAGGAGGACACAATGCCAGTTAAACTTCATGACTGGGGCTTTATTTTCTCTTTGCAGTAATGGTGAAATGTCAGGGTCAAAATCCGAGTATTTAAACAGAAACCGCTGCTTATTTGGAACAGTCAGTGCTTTAGGAATTAGTGTGTGTGTTTTAACAAAAGCACAGAGGTTTTTTTTAAGTATTGTTAGCATTTAGGTTAAAAAAAACCCAACTAAACAAATAAACTTTTGAAGCTGTGCACTTCAAAGTAACTTCAAACTACAGATTCACAGTCAAATACATAAAGTGCCATTAAATACAATGTTATACTGCATTGCTCACTTAATTAATTCAGAAAGTCTGCAGTTATTTGTACCTTTGGCTAGCGCTCAGCCTTGACTGATTAAAAATGAATGATTCATTTAAAGTTAACACTGGACCTGATCCAAGGTCAGTTCAAATCGCACGGCTCCTTAAAGCGCCTCTTTGCGCTAAATGTCATCTCTCGAGCCTTTCAGGGGGGCCCACAGTTACCCGCCTCCGTCTCAGTCACCCCAAAAGTTTACTTTATTGCCAATAAAACAAGAAAGATTTTCAATCACACATATTCAGTTTGAAATAATGGACAGTTTCTAAATCTCATCTGATACTTTCTTCAGTTTGGCCTGAGGAAAGACCCCCAAAAATGAGCACAGGAAGGTTATATCCAACACCACAAGTGAGGATGGTACAGTATAAAATGATCATTACAGCATTTTTTTAAAAAGTTGTTTCAGTTTTCCAGTTTGCAGTTATTCACATTTATTTGTATTTTTCTGCAATGTAAAAAAAAGTCAGGCTTTTTAAACTTTACACTTAAACAGGATAATATTGAGTGTCTTTACTAAGCTACACACTGATTGGATTAATTGAGATATGATTAATAAATCATTAAGCAGACTTTTAACATAGTGTGTAACTGCATGTAGTTTACCACCAGCACGTCAGCATTACAGCACAGCCTTGTTTTGCATCTCTGTATGCCGCTGAATAATGCTTTCTAAAATGTGCCACTCATAGTCAGTTGTAGGAAACTGTATTTACATTTTGTTCTGTTCAGTTGGCTCCAACAAAGAATTTGATGTAGAATAAAAAAAGAAGACCAGAAACTTTAAAAACAGCGGCGAGTAAACAGTTACAAGGGCACTACGGGTCACTGCTTTTTGTAACTTTATGAGCTAAGAGGTCTTATAAGCTGACTTGCTGTAAACAATCATTTACAGCTCAGCCTCAAATCCATAACATGTTTTTTTTTGTCTATTTTGTCTGTGCTCTAAAACATGCCCCCTCCCTGCTTTTTAAAAAAATTACCTGAGTATTTGTGGATTTAACGGAGAGTGTCATATAGATACAGAAACTGTAATGTGTAATTACTTTTGGAGACAAAACACGCACTTAAGTCCACCGAAACTACTATGTTTGGCATTTCCGAGATGTGTTGTGATGCTATAAATGCCCGCGCTATTTCCAGCATCTTTACGGCACAGTGTTTACACTGCACAGCCCGAATCATGACACGAGTCGTTAAGTGGTTTTATTGACCTGTTTGCACCTTTTCGGGCCTTTATGGTCTAAAGCGCTCATTTGAACGCTTAAGTGATGCACACAACCCAAAAGTGCAAGCTGATTCACACGGGCGCACACACACACACACACACATCCTCTGTAATACTCAGAAATGATTACACACACACACCCATGTGGATGTTCCACAAGTCTGACATCCAAATAAATTTGCACATGTCTTGATACGTTCCCCCAGCATTCCACAGATTTCAGCAGGCATCACCTACCGTACCTTCTCTTTCTCAATTCCTCTCACGTGTCTTTGTATTTCCAGACTACTAAGAAGCTCCGCTGCTCCTCACTTGACCTCTCAGCATAGCTCTCTTTAATTGAAACACAGCTGCCTCGCTCTTTGCCCGTCTGTCAGTCAGTCCATTCACAAGCTCCTCACACTAGATTCAGATACCCATTCACAAAAAAAAAAAAACACCCCAGGAAGGAAAAATATCCAATGAAGGGAAGCAAAGCAGCGCAGCAGAGGAGAGCAGAGAGCGATTCTTGGGTTTGTCTGTGTAGCCGAGTGGCTGGTGTGGAGTTTAGAGTCAGGCAGGCTCACTGTTGTGTGTGGCTCATGTAGGACGAGCGAGAGAGTGAGAGGAAGAAGGGAGGGAGGGCAGCAGCTCTGCGCTGTGGAGATGTCGCACCACTAGTTTTTATAGCAGGGTGGGTAGCTGGAAGATAATAATACCCCATCCTCCTCCACAACACAAGTTTAAGCGCAGTGTGTAATAAGCCCATGGCGCAGACACCCTCTGATTTAGGTCAGACAAAATGAATTTTTAGTTGTGTTAGAGTGGATTTTGGTAGAAAGGGACCGGGGCAAAAGAAACCCGAAGGGGTTGTTTGGGGAGACTGAGGGAGGGTAAAAATGGAAAGGAGAAAGAGAGGGAGCGAGAGACGGAGAGAAAAGTTGGGAAAGCGTTTTGTGCACCTCTGTTGGTGAGTCTCAGACTGAGATGAGGAGAAGCAGAAATGCAAGTGGAACTTAAATCAGGTTAGTATTATTCCCACACCTGCTCTTTTCTATTCTATTAAAAATGAAACTTGAAATAAATCTAAAGCGATTTCCACAGGAAGCCACACACTGACCCCACCTTAGAGAAATACTGATAGCAAGAACTGACTCGTTTCTGGAAAAAGAACCTAATAAATCAACCTATTTTGACCTGAGAGACTTCTGCATAACCCCGTTAAACTAGCTGATTCAGTCAGTGGCGTTAATTTGAAAGGCTGTATTATTTAAAAGCTGTCTGTATCTGAGACAGAATTAGACCACAAACGCGACAAAAGAAAAAAAATACCACAAGCGTCTGTTTACAGACCTTTTATTTTTTTTCTCTCTCTCTCTTTCTCGCTTTGTCGAACCGTTGTTTCAACTAAGTTTCAGAAACCCGGCCGTGAAGAGCAGACGGCCAACGTTAGAGTCCTGTTTTGAGTCAGAAAGCGCCGAGGCAGGGTAACAGTTGGCGAGCACCACCACCTCAGTCTGTGGAGAGGAGGAGGAAGTTCATGCAGAAAAAGGTGTAGAAATAAGCCATTCTGTAAAGGCTCGAGCACAGAGGAGGAAACTCGGTTCGGCAGAAGTTTTGAGGAGACGTTAAACTTCAAGACGAGATTGCCTGTTAAGCTCCTTTCTGTGTTGAGTCAGATGTTTGTGATGGCAAGACGGAGGGAAAGAAAAAGGGAGAACAAGTGTTTCCTTTGCCTTTGCTTTCACACACGCGCGCACAAGCCAAATGTTATGACAAAGCACATTCACAGTGTCGAAAAAGCCATTGGGTTTTCCTGTGTGACATCATTAAACCACACCCTTTGTCATACTTCACTGTTTTTATTCGTATAAGTTTTACCGCCTAAGCAATATGAGAGAGAGCAGCAGTCTTGCTGTTTAAAGGCAGCAAGCGAGATCCGAGCAGATGTTCGTCCACGATGGTAGAGCACGCAGCGAGCCATTGTTTTCCTGGTGGCTGCTGGACCTTCAAATCTACTAAAATATTTCTGACCGACCGTATATCATAACCGACAATCAGACAGTGAAAGGAGTCAAATTGTGTTGAGTTAACCTCCACAAACAAGTACACATCAGAGCGTACATCAGACTATGCTATGCCCACTTCCACTTGGGGAAAAAATGGACCAAAGCAAACCGCAGCCCATGCCCACGGTGGTTTACACTGTTTTGTACAGGGTGAGAGCCCAGGCCAGTTCGCATTGGCATCTAGTATATATAAACAGGGTAAGCCACTAACTGCTAGCAGCCCAGCCAGACGGCCAGAAAAACAGCGTTTGTCTTCCTAAAAAGTTCGACTATCTGTTCTAAACACGCCTGCTGCCGTCACAGCAGCGCTCTGTAAGTGGTACCTGTGCGTATTGCTTTGTTCTAAACTCGGAAGAAAAAAAAGCACAAAAAAAAGAAGTGCAGGCTTTTGAACTGCAGATTGAAAACAGTCATCTCGTGGCGCTGACATGCAATTTGTTAAACACAGATTTGCCATGCAGCTCTGTGTTTGGTGACAAAACTTCACAAACGTCTATGGCAAATTAATACGCAGCTTAATTTAAAGGCCTTTAAAACTGCTCGTACAATCTCAGCTCTGCCTTTCTTTCTTTTCAGGACAACCTGAACATGTTATATGACTTAAATCAGAAAATCTGGTGAGAAATGTGCATTAAGGCCAAAAAAAGTGCATCTTCATCCCATATGCAGCGACGAGTTTAATTGGCTTAATCACAAAATAACATAAGCTATTTTTAACTGCTGTGCACATAACAATCAAAAGTTTTTTCTGTGTCTCTCAGTCTTTTGTGTTTCTCTAAGCTAACAACTCATTCCTCCTCCCCTTTCTCCAGGAAAAAGCGGTGGATCTTGCCGCCTGCTCTGTGCGCGCTCACAGTCATGAGGGCTGAGTAAGAGTCATCTGTTTTGTCTGTCTGTCTCTCTGACTGGTGTGTCAGTGTACCTGTTTACTGCCACCTGCTGCTCCCAGCAAGATACACACACACAAGGGCACCAGATTGGCACTTTGGATGGGGGATGGGGTGTGAAGCATCATTACATAAAGTTGATATCATGAAAACTTTGGTGCTATACTCAGCTTGGCCTTCTGTGCAGACCATAAACACGGCAGTCCGATTCTTAATACTAAAATTGGCTCTTTTTGGCACGTCTGAGAAGATCTCATCAGCATCTCAGATGGTCTTGTAGCAGCACAGCAGCCACGTATCACAGAGTGAATTTTTACATGTGCCACTGGTATGAAATAGTGTGATCCTAGACTGCAGCTTTTTAGTTCGCCTTGTTTGGCAAACAGGGCCCTGCCTCCGCCACCTAGCGTTTAGGTAGACGCTTCTCAAACTAGCTGCAAAGAGGTATTACAAGGATGCCTGGAGAGTTGAGGCCGTCTTATGGACGCACTTTGGTTCTGAATATCTGCTGGAATCACTTTTTCTTAAGTGTTCCCAAAAGACATTCATATTGTTTCATCAAGTTGCAAATATGCCAAACTGACTAAAGTAGCTGCATAAATATAGATTTCACCTCCACAAAAGTGACCGACCACTTTCTGATGGGATAAATGTGAACTCTGACCTGAAGGGGGTCTGTAAAGCAGTTCTGGATTCTGACTTTTCAAGAAGTACTTATAACTGCTAAGAATCAGTGTTAAAATGCAGCAGTATACACATAGCCCACGAGCGTGCTAAAACAGTTCAGGGACAAGCTCAGCTGACCTTCCCAGGATTAATAAAAACTGTAGAGGCAGACAAACACGACCGGCCAAACTCATACTTTGACTGTGAAGCCAGGTGTGGCCTGGTGTGGGAGAGAAGCAGGAAAGGGAGGCATTCACTACCCCCACTCCTCTTCCATCCAGAGATAGGGCATCGCAGCAGCCTCCCAGGTCTAACATCCCTTGCCTCAAGTGCCAAGGACAGCCAGGCACTTGGAGATGCAATGTTGATTAAACACAAAGGGAGGGTTGAATGTGTTCAAACCCATTGCAAGCTCTGCCTCACTCACTCACAGACAAACATTCACAGAGATACACACCCATCTGTCATTGCACTGAGGTCATTAGAACTCACCTTGGAGCATGCCATTTGGGTGAGTGAGACGAGGGCGTTTCCTGTCTGCTGACCTGTCTGTTTTGGGCTTTAACTTTCTCCCATTGGGCCTTCTTTTCAAACAGCCTAATAAATATGGGAAGCTTTGCCAGAAGGGAGGTAAAGAACTGCAAGTACTCAGTGAAAGTCTCACACAGTTGGCTGCACTCCTTTGTATGAATCCACTGAGTGTTTTCTTAAAGGTAAATTTGATCATTCGTCATGTTTGAGGCCGCTTTTTTGAGAAGAATGTATTCAAGGCGTAATAATCCCAACAAAATGTACAAAGAGTCATGGCCCCGCTAGCGCAATTTGACTTCAGAATGGGTTTTGTTGTGTTTGCTGGATTGGTTTGGTGTCTGTATTTTTGTGTGAGCGTTGTGTACGTGCGTGTTTCGCGAGGGTCGTCAGGTGAATGAAGACAACTCCTTACGGTGATAACGAGAAGGAGGCCAGCCTTGGTGGGACAGCCTCTGTCTGCCCTCAGGTATTGTGTGTATGCTGTACGCATGTTTGTGTGTGTGTGTGTGCGAGTGTGAGAGAGAGAGCATGTGTACGTGTGTGTGTCAGCAAGAGAGCCCTCGGGCACTCTGGCACCTCCTAATTAAAACCAGTCAGGCTGCAGGGCAGGGGAGACAGATGCCTGTCATGGAACACACACACATGCACACACACACATGCACGAGGTGGCGGACCGCTGTGAACCGCATGCACACTGGCAAAATACACAAGCCCGATGCGCAGGTCAGCTATTTTTGGAGGCGAACCCAATTTCATCCCACCCACTCAGGTATCACAGCAGGTAACTAATCTGTGACAAAACACAAGCAGAACTTATAAAATGATCCACACACGGAAAGCAAATATTCTGAGATAAAGAAAGTTGAAATCTGCGTGGACGGGGTTAAAATTAATTTGACTAATCTGGTTAGAAAACAAAAGACAGTGAGCGATGTCTCATTAGAGTTATTTCGACCTGAAACCTGCGTGTTTGTGTGTTTGGCAGCTTAAACTCAAACGCTCTCTCTTACGAAGTTGTGAACCACAGTGGCCTCTAGAATGACACATCTCTGTTTCTCCCAAGCACAGAGTGAGGCATAATTGTTCTGTGTGTGTGTGTTACCTGCAAACTCTGTCACATTTTATCTCCCAGTGAAGCACCTCGAGCTGCAGGCGACTACATATAGTACTTAGCAGGCTAACTGCTGTTTGTCTGGGGTAGGTGGGTGGATCAAGGCATGTTGCTCTCCTTTCTCTCCCAGTGATTAGATAGCATAAGCAGGCCAGCTAGCCTAACCCACACACTCATGTCTCTAAAACTGCCATCCAGCCCTGCTTTCTCTCTCACTGCCTCTCACACACAGGTGGGTGGACCCACTTATTCAACCCAGATCTTTCTTTTAGACATTATGAAATCACGCTCTCTTTTTTCCTTCTCCTCCCTTTCTTCTTTTCTTCATCTAACTCCCTGATGCTGAATGACACGCGGCTCTATGCTCTATATGTTTCCCCGCACTGTACGTGCGGCTGTTCTTCGTTTTCTAATTTACCAGCCAGTCATTTTACCCGATTGCCAAACTGCCGAGAGCCAATGCCTTTCTTTGTGCTTGTCGCCAGGTTAAAGCTAGGTGGGTTGCTAGTGGTTACAGGGGCCCTATTTTGTATTATCTAGGTAACATTCAGGAAACACCCACAAATTGTATGTGAAATGCTTCACTGCGCAACCACATTACAAATTGCGGCTGCCACTGACATTTCAGATGTTGAAATGTATGACAAAAATATTTCTCTGATGACTATGACCCTGCTAAGGAATGCATAAAAAAAACCACTACAAGACACTCTGTGATTTAGTAAATACAAAGCAACTGTTGCATTATTAATAGAAGTTCATAACATGAAACAAGTTTCTGTGTGATCGAGTTTGTTTTTGCAGTTTTGCGAGACCTTTCAGATAAAGCACAGACACACACAGCTCAAAAGTAAAGCGATATATTTATGTAAAGCAGTAATAACTTAAAGGAACCCAAATGCCTTGATTATGTTGTTTTTGAAGAGTTTAGTGTCAGGGTAGGTGGTGAGCAGGAAGTGTGAGGCAAGAGGTGTTCCCAGGAAGTCAAAGTGTGCGAGTATAATCGGTCGGTTTATTATTTTTAAGAAAAATACTGGATGTGGAGATGAAAAGGAGGAGCACTGTAAACGGAAAGATGGGATATAGCTTGAAAAGCAGAGGGTGTGATCGAGCCGACCCCTGGGAGAGAAAGGGCCCACCTCCCTCCCCCCGGCTGCTTCTGTCGTTGGAGCCAGGCGCTGTGTTTCGTGAGGAACGCAAAAGTACACAAATCCCACAGAAGGAGCTTTTTTGGCAGGGCTTGGGCCTCCCACCCACGGCAGCCTCTTCAAGCCTCCTCCCATCCTCTATTCATCTGTGAGGGGCGGCTTACTCACCCAGCCCAACTCCACACACACACACACACACACAACAAAACCTGGACCTCGATCCTACGGAGGAGGGCGGACACGCACGCGTGCACACAAAAATGGCTCCTCTGCCATTGTAGACATGCAAACACACGCAGCACATTAACCTGAACACAAGTTTTTGCGGGTATGCATCTAACAGATCAGGTTTTTTTGGAGGGCGTTTTTTTGTCCTCTCTGCTTTCTGAGCAGTTTTCTTAAAGAAAAAGAATCAGATTCAGGACAGCTGCCGTGATGACATCTGTGTCACAGAAGGTTAGCATCAGATTGTGTATCCCTGTGTGGATGCTGTTACATGGGCATGCCCACATGCTGTCAGGTGGGAAGAAGGCGTGCGGACTCATTCACCGTCAGTCTCACAATGAACACATTGCATAATTCTTCAGATGTGAAGCCGCGTCTTCATTCATTTTGACAAATTGATTCAGGGCTGTTAAAATCTCTTAGTCAAGCACTTTTTGTGCCCTTACACGCCGGCTCGCTAAGCTAACCGGCTTGTCGTGATCTGCACGGCATACTGTAGGTGAGATTATACAAACACCGGCTGAAATCTGTCCCGGGTAATGTTTGTTAAACACAGCCGACGTAAGCGAGGCCCTGCAACAAAAGACCAGCGAGGATCAGGTTCAAATCACTAATCCTAGAGAGAGAAAGAAGCAGACGTGGAGCTGTAGTCAGACGAGAATAGGTGTGGTAGCGTCTACTTGATTTTATCCCCATCTAACCTCACAGCAACAGGAAAGAAAGCTCTGTAAGGTTGTTGTTTTTTTAAATTAACAATGATGGCTGATAAGCTTTCAAGCTGATATCTTCTGTACATGCTGCTTTATTGTATTTGAAGTTTTGTTTTGCTCACATTCCCTTTATCATCTCGCACCGCATTTTGAGGAAGCTGCTCATTTTCTAATTTTCCATTCATTTTCATACGATCCATCTAGTTCTCTGATAAACGGAAACACACTGCATATCTAAATTGAGAACCTGGTGATAATAATGTGGTTCGTGAGCTGTGAAGCTGCTTTAGACCACAGCTGCCTGTTTTTAGGTCGGTACTGGAAACTGAGATCCTTTGTCATAACCTGTTGATTAAAACCACCGCTCGTTTGTACAGTATTTGAAGCATATAGTGCATAATTGCAAGGTTTTTTTTAAATCAGCTGAAGGTTTTGCATTCGCCACTTCAGTTAGGACCATGCCAGCCTTACTAACACGGAAAGCAGGACAGTTGACATCTCGCACAATGATTCAGTCGTGTCGTCTCAAGAATACTTCAGTACCTTGTTACAGTATCGCGTATAACTGCCCTGTAATGATACTCTTGAAGTTATTCGTGGCATTTGATGAGGAGTCACAGGAAGAGTGAAAGAAATGTGAATGTCACACCTCTGCCCCCACATCTGTTGCACAGAAGCTAGGATTGCTCTAAAACGCGAGCGGTGATTAAACGGACTCCTGCCGGACAGATGTTAACCCATGTGTCCGATCGTCTTGTTATTGCTTCGTCAGTTAGAGGCATTGTATGATCAGGCTGTGCTCGGGCCGATCGTACAGTCGCAGATGCGAGATTAAAGTCACGTGCAATCAATCTTCGTGTAGTTCTACAAGCTGCTACTACAACAAAAACAAGTAACAGTAAAAAAAAAATGATATCAGTCTTTCAATCTGTTCCAGCTCTGTCATGCTTTCACTTGCTTCCTCCCTTGGTGTGCGGTTGCTGTTTGAAAGGGGGAGTCTTTTCACTCACTGTGCGCACATCTGTTGCGAGATATGCACAGAGAAAAGTTTCTGCATAGCTGAGCAGTCTATTTTTTTTTTACATTTTTTTAAACATATATATTCCATCGTGAAAAGTTTGAAACATGGAGCAATTTGCAATTCAAAATGGGTCGCACAGAAGAGCCCGATTCTGCAAAAGGTCAGCCATCCGTTAGTTTGATTCTGGTGCGCAGGAGGTAGCCGGCAGCTTGTGTATGCTTTGAACTTTTTTGTTTTGTTTTTTTTTGCCAGAACAGAGAGAAAATGTGAACCTCACTTTACGACTTTTTCGATGATGACAAATGATAGCGTGACGGAGAAAAGAGCAGAAAAGTGAACAGAGACAGCGAGATGTTACTGACCTTTTAAGAAGAGAAGTTTTGATTTCAGTTCCTCTCTCACTCCCTGTCAGGAAACACAGCACTGTCTCAGCACTGGCAGACTTGTGAAAGTGAGAGCAGGCACGAAACACACTCAAATTTGCTCTGAAGGTGTGTCCGTGATTTGGGGGAGTGAAAAGGTACCGCTCCACGAAGCGGTTATCTAAGAAACACAACAAAAAAAACAACAAAAAAAAAACTGCTACACCCACCAGCCTCAGCCAACACCCCTCCCTCCGTCTAAACCAAAACTATTTGGCAATGTTCCCTACAAGTCCACCTGTGCTTAGGGGAGGGGAGTGACACACACTCTAACACTAAAACAAGCCAAGCCTAAAAACCTGCTTGCACGTTTGACTGGGGTGGTATGATTACAGCTGAGAAATGACAGAGCTTAGCTGTGGTGCTGACTAGAGCTGAGAGAGTGCTCTTGGGCCTGACCAGTGCCTGAAGGTCTCGAGCCCGAGACGACGCTGGACGAGAGCTCCAAACCAGGAGCATGGGTTAGAAAATCCGAGCACTGAGGCAGGAACTGGGAATAAAATAGTCACAGTGAGGCTGATCTGCAGGGTGAAGGGAAAAAAGTGGGTGGGCCTTTACCTGTGCCAACCAGGAGCTCCAGGGGTTCATATCAGGTGTCGAACAAAAGACGTATCAGGGGGAGAAATGAAAGGAGTTTGAGAAAGGTACGGGTGGTAAAGAGTCGCTGACAGCGTCTGAATGTACTTGGGCGTGTGCTCCACTGTAACAGCTCGTACCTGGCAAGATGTTGGAACCATTGTGTTGCTCTGAAGCCCGTAATGCAGCATAATGGCAATATAATAAGAGGGTGTAATCGGTGATGTAAATGTTGCTGGGCGATAGAGGGGCAAAAGGCTCTGCGTCTGTCAAACAAGCCCCAGAGAAAAGCTGCTGTTTGCCTTTTCGCTTTAACACGTGGAAATGCCACACTTGTGAAAGCAACCACATCACTTGATTAAAGTGTCAATGATTCATATTTTTATAGTAAGGCATCAAATGACAAAGTGAAAACAGCGCGGAAATGTGAAAGGATTTCATCATTCTTACAGCGTGAGATAGAAAAAGGTTGTTCAGCCAAACCTGCAGCTCCTGCCTGCTTTATGGAGCCCTGTAGTGCGTTTAATCACGTTTAGCTACATTACTGTTTTGGATCACTCTATAGCATTGACTGCCAGTCAGACATACCTGGGACTAGCTGTTGAACACTGTGGGGAATTTAGTTGCTAATGTGCCAGGTGCTTCCCTGAGTGACTGGTACAGACTAAAAGAAAAAAAAAACATCATAAAAGATGAGAATATTGCCTTGTAACATCAGAATGAGCAAATATTTGCTAACACGTTTCCTAAAGAAACCCCATAAAGACAACCTTTGACATCTAACTCTAACGGCCTTCTAAGGGGGGGAGTGTGAAACGTGGTGATCTGTCAGTGATATGCTCACAGCTTGCTAGTGTTGTGGCAAAAACAATGATCTCAGTATCAATACATCTTCTGTGAGCCCTTAAAATACATAGTATGCAAGGAAGGAAGGTGGTAAAGGGTAGGTGGTCAGTCCATCATATTTGCTAGACTCCATATTAAAGATGGACACTAACTCTGGGTGTGCAGATTCTTTATGCTCACCATTGTCTTCTTTTATTAGATTATTTATTTATTTTTTGCTTTGTTTTTAGGAAGGGCTCTCCATATTTGGATGAGAAGGTGGTGCTGCAATAGACTGAACAGATGCTTTAGAGACAGCCGGTAGCCACTTGCCACTTAAAGTAGCTGCATCCTCCAAAATTCATGAGATCAAGTCTTAATTTAATATAAATGCATGAGTTATCAGAAAACACCACCTCCTGTGAGGTGTCACAAAAGGTGAAAGCAGCTAAACATGTTTATTACAGCTGGGAAGTTGTGCATTTTAAATTGGGGGGACTGTGGGAACGGGCTCACTTTGGAGTCAGCCCCAAGTGGCCATTCAAGGAAGTGCAGTTTTCAGCTCTTCTGTGTTTGCTTCATTTTGTTTAAGCCCAGAGGAGAAGCTGCGTGGGCTGCTCTTACCTATTTAGCTCTGTCTTGAATAAATCTGTAGCAGGATTTGTTTTACAGTAACGTACTATTTTATAATTAATCAGTGTGCAAACAAACAAACTGACAGGCAATTAAAACTGAAGATTCCCAGGCTAGGTTAGGGTTTGAACCAGTGACAATTAGACATAAGAACATACCAACGTGATAGCTCTGGCATCCTCTGGTTATTGTCTTTTGCAGGTTCTTGGTACACACCCAACATGTGTTTGATTATTTTATGTCCTGTCCCTTGCAGTGTGCTTTGGAACAAGGATTCCAGTATTTGCTTTCTCTTTTTTTATTTGGCATAGAGACATCGTACAATAGGACAGAAAAGCAGGTGTAACACAAATAACACTGAGCTGATCTGTCTGTGCAGCGTTTTCTGTTTTTCTTTTTTGGCACTGTTGTTGTTGATAAAACCTAAAAAGTCTGTGAGGAAATAATCATTCTTCAAAAGGCTATACTGAAATTTCAAACCCTATACACAAAAGCAAAGATAAAACTCTCCAGTATCAATTCGTGAAAAGTACAGATATACTCCGTATTTCAGATGTGGCGTAATTGCAATGCAAATTCAGCGGCGAGAGATAATTAGTGCTGAAATTGCCTGCAGTGATGCAAACAAAACTGACACATTTACACGAGTTAAAAAAAACTAAAAACATTTGAGCTTGAGCAAAAAAAAATAAAAAATCTTGCTTTTCTCCAAACTGTCTCAGAGACAGAACAAAACTAGAAGGAGATGACAGAAAGTTGGAGTTACTGTGTGAGTGTGTGTGCGTTCTGAGATCACCCGCGAGATGTTGAGTTAAACAGAAACACACAGATCGTGATACCTAGCAACAGCTGTCGTCTGAACACGTGGGACATGGTAGGAAAGGTTTAGATTTTTTAATAAACTTCAATTATTAAATCAAAATAATACAAATTTGGGGTTAATGGGCCTATTTTGCCGTATTACCTTTACCATCACCAGACCTGCCTAAAAGTGTACCATGGTCCACTTTTGCCACCAGATCTGCCTCAATTCTTTGTGCTACTTATTCAGCAAAGTGCTGGAAACATTCAGAGATTTTGCAGATATTGCAGCATATAGCATCACACAGTTGCTGCAGATTTGCTAGCTGCATGTCCATAATGTAAACGTCCCGTTCCACCACATCCCAAAGGTGCTCTGTTGGATTGAGATCTGGTGACTGTGGAGTCCATTGGTGTACAGTGAACTGCCATGTTCAACAAACCAGTTTGAGCTGATCTGAGCTTTTTGGCATGGTGTGTTATCCTGCTGTGAGCAGCCCTCAGAAGATGGGTACACTGTGGTCGTAGAGGGATGGACATGGCCATCAACAGGTAGGCTATGGTATTTACACGATGCTTAATCAGTACTAAGGTGCTAAAAGTGTGCTAAAAAGTATCCCCCACCATTATACCTCCACCAGTGGCCTGAACCATTGATATAAGGCAGCATGGATCCATGCTTTCATGTTTCTTAGTGCCTGATTTTGACCATACAATTCAAATGTTGCAACAGAAATCAGGACTCATTAAACCAGTCAGCATTTTCCCAACCTTCTAATGTCCAGTTTTGGTGAGCCAGTGCGAATTTTAGCCTCCAGGGTCTTCTGCTGCTGCCCATCTGCTTCAAGATTCAATATATGATGCATTCAGAGATGCTCTTCTGCATGACTTGGTTGTAACAAGTTGTTATTATTGCCTTCCAGCTGGAAGCAGCATGTCCATTGTCCTCTAACCTCAACAAGGCACATGAGGAGTTTACATGGGTTGCTGTCAGCATTGAGGTGGTCCATATGACAGCTGATACTTTAAAATGAGGTATAAAGGCACATAACCACTCTAAAGTCCTTAGAGGTGTATGTAGATGATTTTGCTACGTTTGCACAGTGCCATGCTAGCTGTTCGCAAACTTTCTTATCTTTTTATCCCCATGTTAAGCGCATAGATATTAAGGCTGATATCAGTGAACACGTTTCATTCCAGAAAAGTTGAACTATTAAGATTTTGAGTCATAATTTTTTTTTCTGTAAATGACAGCTGTACGGTTTCAAAATGATTTGTTCAGTACACTGTTATCTCATACTGTTAAATGCTATGATTGTTGCACATAAATATAGCCGGCATTATTTAGCTATGAAAGTTCTATAAAGGCCCTCACACACACACACACACACACACACACACACACACACACACACACACACACACACACACACACACACACACACACACACA